CTTTCGATCATGATTGTTAGGTACGACAATCTTCCCTTTACATATAATACATCATTAATTTTGCTGTAATCTTTGACTAATTTCATCCATGATGTTCCATTACATAGCTTCAATATTTCAATGATTTTTGGGTCTGATTCAGATTTGCTTTTGATTTCTTCTAAGATTCTCGCATCATTCCATACCAGCCTTGAGTTATTTGTGTCTGTGTCATTATCATCTGTGGTTTCATTCACTTCATTGCCATTAAGTTCTTGTTCATCAACTACCCACAATTCAAATAAGTCAAGTTCATCTATAAACACATCTGCTGGCAGGTTCTGTGGTTTGAGTAATTGTCCAAACAAGAGTTTTTCCCCGTCCTTTGTCATCAGGTCCGGTCGTTGCGAGAGTGCGTCCAGTTTGGTTGACTGCTTCCCTGGTCTGAATCTTATCTCAAAGTCAAAACTTCCTAATGCTTCCGCCCAAAGAGCCTGACATCTAGTTAGTTCTTTTGTTGTCATGAGAGATTCAAGGTTCTTGTGATCAGTGTATACTATTACACTTAGTCTATTTGGATTTCCCTCTAAGTACTGGTGCCATTCCTTAAATGCACTAACAATCGCTAGGAGTTCTTTATCAAAGATCTTGTAATTCCTTTCTGCTTTGATCAGAGAGCAAGATAGGAAAGCCACAGGATGGAGTTGTCTGTTGCCGTCAGATATTTGAGATAAAACAGCGCCAAGAGCATAGTTGGAACAGTCACACTCTAATAGAAACGGTTTTTATGGATCAGAAATTTTGAGTATTGGTGCAGAGGTAAATGTGTCTTTGAGAAGTTTGAATGATCTTTCACGCCCAGTTGTCCATCAAAAGGAGTGTCTTTTTGTGATAATTCATGTAACGGTCTTGCTATCTTTGAGAATTGTCCAATGAAACGTTGGTAAAAGTTTGCAAAGCCTATGAACGTTTGAACTTCACTTAGATTTTTTGGAGCTGGCCAGTCCTTAACTGCTTTAGCTTTAGTTTCTTCCTTTTTGATTTGATTCTTAGATATTATTAACCCTAGGTAAGCTATTTCTGATTTTGAAAACTTGCATTTCTCCGGCTTCAGCCATACATTTTGCGCTTTGAGGATGTCCAGGACTTGCTTTACTACGGCTTTATGATCAACTCCAGGTCTTGTATAAATGAGAATGTTGTCTTGGTATGCTGCTACATTTCGTCCTATGTGAGATTTGAGTATGTCCTGAATGAAATACTGGAAGAAACCGGGGGCTCCAGTGGGACCAAAAGGCATTGTGAGAGGCTCAAACTGACCCTGTTTGCAGATAAAAGCTAGTTTTCCTTCACCTTCTCTTACATGTAAATTATTGTATCCATTTCTCATATCTAAACTGGTAAATTTTTCAGCATGAAGCAAGCTGTCAATTAGTTCCATTGTCAATGGTAACAGATATTGATTTTTTACCATTACTGCATTTAGTTTTTGATAGTCAAAGCACAGTCAAAGGCTGCCATCCTTCTTCCCAGTGAACAATACAGGAGCTGCCCATGGGGAAGTGGTACGACGTATTGTTCCGTTCTCTAAGCCTTGTTTGAGCATTTCATCTAATACCCCGCTTTCTTTGGGTGACAAAGGGATCACTCGTCCAGCCTGAGGGGTTGTTCCAGGTAATAGGTCCACACCTATTGTCATAGGGTCTATGTGGAGGGAGGACATTGGACTTGCTTTTCTCAAATATGTCAAGGTACGCATGGTAACATTCAGGGACCAGTTCAGCTGCCGGTTGTGTTGGTGCTTTCAGTGCAATCTCCGGATTGAGTTTAGCAGATAAATTCCACGACGCAGACGTTTTGTTGATGTGTGAGAGCGACGGTTGTTGCTTTGAGGCTATTTGCGAGTATAGGCGTCTTGTTGGTGCTTGTGGAGGTAATTGTGTTGCCAATCTAGAAAGTTTTCCCGGTGGAAGAGAGAATTGCTTTTTCATTGTTTCACATGAGGCATTTGATTGGGCAATGACAGACTCACTCTGCGGGGGTATTAGCAAGTCATTTACAATCTCTACCCCCTTGTCACAATTCCTAGCTTCCCTCATTAGTTCCAACTCGTAGTCTTTTGAGGTGATTGGCGGATTGGACAAAGTCATCTCGTGAATGACTGCAGGTGGTTCTGTTTGGGGTTTGCTGTTGGACGTGACTGCTTTGTTGAGGGTACGGTTTTCTAAATGATGTTTAAGCTTGCCACTGGTTTCTTCACATAAGGTAATAGAATGCAAGGAATACTCACATTGCGGGGGCATTGATGAGTCATTTACGATCTCTACGCCCTCGTCATGTTGCCCAGCGTGCCTATCAGGCTCCAATACTTGGTCCATCAAGGATTTTTTCGGTCTTGACAATGTTGCATCTGCAACAGCAATGCTGAGAGTGTGTCTTGATAGGCGGCTTTCTTCCCAATTAATTTTTGAGTGATCATCATAACATTTAATCCCAGAGACGGTTCGCTTACAAAACTCAACAAAATCCACCATTAGTGTGATTTTTGAGTTTTGTCCTTGGTCAGAAACATGTCACTGCAATTCAATTTGCATTCACCATCATGATCGTCGCCAATCCCAATTATAATCCAGCGGATCCCCAAATGTATATCTCCATCGCCAAAACTCAACGCAAAATACTCGCCAGTCGCTTGAAGTGGGAATGGAACCTCAGCAGATCCAATGACTCTACCCTTACCAACAGCAATATAGGAGAAAGATTAAGATCCCACCACGGATTTGATACATACCACCACCATCACATATACAAAATCCAACAATCGCATTGGAATGCAGTCAGTTTTGGTTCTTCAATATGATCTTTTCCTGGACCTAACTGATCTTTTCTTTGCCGTCATTGTTCCAGTCGTACAGAAGGTACTTTCGAGAAACATCAACAACAAACAAATTTGAACCCGATTGATCTGAACTTTTGAATAATCAAAAGTACTAACTACTTACGACATCAGAAGAAATCACTAGACAAGGTCAATTATCATGAAACTTAAAGACGACATCAGTCACCAACTACTAAAACTTTTGATTTGATAGAAACAAGAAATGAAGATTTTAAGGTATCAGATCAAATCAAATGGGATCTTCTTAAATTTCCTCAAACCAAAATCCAACAATCTAATGAAATCAAAATCAAAATCAAAGAAATCATTGAATCAACTCAAACCATCCTTTATTGCTAATCACTTCAGACATTGTAAGTTGATTCTTACAAATTCATTCATTCATTAATCAATAAAATCAAAAAGATTGAAACTATTTGGATTGCATTTGAATAGTAAGATTAATCGGACAAACTTCAATTATATCACACACTCTGCACCTTGTAAAAACATCAACAGATGAATCAATGGTGAAACCAAGTGATGAGACCATGTAAGCCTTGGAACAATCAATGAGCGTGATCAGGGACTTAGTTCATACTCATGGTACCAATTTCCATCAGTTTCTCTTCGAAACCATTGTATCATTTTCCTTGAAATCCCAAACTGATGTTCTCTTTTTTGGTTTTTGATTCAGGTCTCAATCAATCAAAATCTTTATCACATCAATCTTCCAAAAATTTCAACGATTTGATTTGTTTATCTTATGTTGCTAATGTTTGAAGTTCGAGTTGATCCAATTCACCCTAATACTCATCGATTCCAAAACAATATTACTGTATTTTTCAACTTATGTTTCAAATATGGTATTTAGACCAGGTTATACACTTAATCGCCTTCATCTCTTCCCAATCATCTCATTTAAGCTGATTGGACTGGACTCAAACATCTTGAATTCCAACGTTTTCAAAACCAGCTTGATGCGATTCACCAGGAGCATAGAGAATCCTACATTCAAGGTATCCAGCCCGTCCTTGATCCATTGAAAGCCCGTCATTTCAATTCATCCTGGAACTGGGTTCGTCAGACTGCTTAGAGATGTTTTGCGACATGTAAGTCGCTTCCTCTTCTCATGAACTCGCGCGATTTCATCTGAGCTCACGTATCTCTGCTTTGCAGTATCTATGGCCGTCTGCAAACTGTCGATCGGGACATCAGTGGCGAAGTAGGTTTTCAATCTCTCCTCATCTCGATCTTCAGCTGATCACAATCATATTATTTGTATTTGGTGATCATGAACTGAGCCAACCCAGCTTTGTTAGAATACATGCAAAATCATCTCGACAATACTTACACATCGAAAGTAGAGCGCTACCGACTTGCAAAGGGATTTGGACAAATTCTCCTCAGTAACTGTCGTGAGGCTATCGGAACAGCACCTATGTATCGCGATAATAAGTAACACTTGATTGAAATGATTCCAGGGAGGTTGTGATTGCTTAAGATCCTTCATATCTCCAGTCACTTTCCCCACTGCCCCGAAGACCAGTCACTGTAAAGTTGACATTGTATATGGAGAAGTCGACCAAACTGGTGTATCTTGACTGGAACAATACGTGGCGGAAATGGCTGCCGGTTTGAGGATCACCGCAGATGAATCTCGACAAAGTTCAGGAGTCGATCCAGAATCTTTACAAGTTAGTCAACTCTCAACCAAAGATCTTCAAATTACAGATGGCGGCAATCCGATCTCTGTACGGTGAGGTAGTCAAAGGTCTTTCCCATGATGTGCGTAATCGACAGGGACCTGGCGCACCGGGAAGTCGAAGACCATCAAGTCAGTTCCTTCAACCTGTGCAAGCTGAACCGACTGCGCGCTCCAGCGATGAGACTCCCCTACTTCATTTGAAACTTAGAGTCAGTGATCACAACTGGGTTTACAGCAGTAAATTGACCACTGTAAGTAGTTCTGTATTGCCTTTGCTTTGACACGTTCAGCTGATTCATAAATGGGTCAATCACTCCCTCACAACTAGCTCTATCTTGATGTTTTGACAGAGATTGCGTCTGCCGGATCGACCTTTGAACACGAGAAAGCTTTACATACTGGAATCGGTAAAGGTAGTATTCAGGTTGAAATCTTGAAGGGTCTCTTGAGTGGTGATGCTCAATTTTTAGTCACCACTTCTTGATGCTCATGTGTCAAGGTCAAATATCACCAAGCTATTTGCAAAGTAGTTGGTTCACACGGTAGTAGGATCAATACTGGGCATTGATTTGTGACCACTTGGATCTCATTCACAACTATCTACTCACATTTTGCAGGACAGATTATCTATGTCATAGATCAGACATAATGTTAAAAATCAAGACATGACTTCCAAATGATGATGTCTATGAATTATTTTTTTCAGGTCATAACCATCAAATCTTCTTGATCTGCGGACTTGAAATTGGGCTACAGCCTATATCAATTGGTTGGTATGTATAGACCTCAGTCTTAGACATCCTTTTGAAGAGATTGAAATAAAGACTAATTGTTATCTGGCTACACTTCACCTTATAGATGGATCACTGTCACTTCAATGTATTAACGTCTTTTGATTCTCAACTCAACTTTGTTTACTTCCAATATGATTTCATCTTCCATCATCAAAAGATTTGCTCAGACCAATCTCAATCTCAAACTCATCATGAATCAATTCCCAAATTCAATTGTGCATTCAAAGTAACATGGTCATGATTCATGATTTGCTTTTCCTCTTCTAATTCTCCAATTGCAAACTTGCTCTCTCTTTTTGGGGTGGATGTAGTCAACATTCAATGATTTCAATGATATATCATCAACAGTAGTACCTCTGTATCAGATAAATTGTTCCAACACTTGCCATATTCACACTCTACAAGTTTGAATGGAAAAAAATCCTACTGGATAAGTGGATGGGAAAGCTGCTACTAAGGTCTGTAATTAAGTATTAGCATGCACATGTTCAGTTGATTTGTCTCATCCTTACTCTTGGACTGTTATCTTGAGTGCAGTCTTTGATTGAGTTGTTGGAATTTTTGATGCTTGAATATTTCAATGCATATAGTTGATGCCATAATTATGTCAAACCTCTTACAAGGCTTAAGATTTAAGCAGACTGGATGTTTCAAAGGCACTGGGTGTTTGTAGTGCAAATGAAAGCCAAATGGTGACACTTGAACAAGAAGGAAAGTCAAGTATTAAAATGTCAGATGTGAGAGACAACCAATGATGGAATAAAAATGGTCCAAGAAGATAAAAAACCTGAAGATGAAGAGGCTAAGTGTTCTATTGATGATTGAAATGGAAATCCTAACCAGAAAAGAACCTCAGGGCAACCTGATTCACATGGTTCAAGTGAAGGGACAGGGAATATTGAACAAATGTCTGGATAACAATCAGGAGGGAGATAATAATCTCAGCCATACCAATGTATCACAATCATTGTCAGTAGCCCCAAAATTGGTACAGAATTCAATCTTATCATGTACAACCTTCAACTTCATTTTTTGAGCTGGAACAAATCAAAGAAGTATCATTTCATTTCATCCACATCACCAATATAATTGACCAAACTCATGGATTTGTTTGACTTCATAAAGTAACACCCATTCAATCATATCATCTTCAAACACAATAGCACACCCTGACTATGAACTCATGTCTTTTTGAAAAATGAGATTCCTTGAATTCTCAATGTGGTATCTGTGTATAAACAACAAGATTCAACATCAAGCAGCTAAACTGTATTCATAACTCAGATAGTGCTTCATTCAATACTTTTCTGATATGATTTGGGATTCAGATATGGTTTTCTTCATGCAGATGTTTAGTTCTTGGTTCATCATTTCAATTCTCTCTGTTGGTACTAGATGATATGATGACAACATCAGAGACAAAAGAGATGAGTACTTTTAGTTGATATTAATATAATTGTTTTGATTGTGTTGCAATGAAATTTAGGGTTTTTCATCAAATCCTTGATGTTACTAAACTTAACAAAGTCCCATGCTTGCCTTGAGCAAGTAGTGCAAGCAAGGGACTTACACCACATGTGTACGCTCCATAACCTCAGAGATTTGGCTTTTGCAGGAGTGCTCCTTCAATCCCTGCTACCTCTTTCCACACCAAGGATTCTGCCATTGTCCAAAGAAATACTTTGTGCGCTGATATCTTGCACTGAGACTACACTAAATTTTTCCCAAGGAAATTGATCCCTTCTTGCCAGAAATGTGTTTCAAAAATTGGTTCTTAGCAGCAAATTTGGACTTGAGAGAAAAGTTACATATGTGATTCTCCGTTGAGAGCCAATATTTGACATACATTTTGGGCAAGAGGGCAGCACTTCCCTAGGGAAAAAAATCATGTACATTATGTGCAAGAGCCAGGTGCAAACATTTTCCTTTTGGACCATACCTGGTGTGGAATAAGACAAAAGGGAACAAAGAAAGCTCCCTACAAAAGCCTAAGCGCTGAGGTTATGGAGCGTACACATTTGGTGTAAGCCCCTTGCTTGCACTAATTGCTTGAGGCAAGTGTGGGACTTTGTTTGGTTTATGATCTTACAAATGAAGAGGTATGTACAACAAGACTTGAAATGTTGAACAGCGGCGCCCGCCGCTAAGTTGCTAGTTTCTTCTTATCCATGGCATTCCCAGAATTAGATCATACTTGTCTCTGAGGGATGTGATGATGAATGTGGTAATAGTGGATTCGTCGTCAATGTGGTAGTTGCCAGAGTGAGTAACTCGAGATTCATGTCCACTGAATCCTGTTACAGAGTGAGAATGTGGTAAGGGATGGGTGTGAAGGTCATACTTTCTCACAAAATTGAGGCTAATAGCCTTGTGGGTTGCACCACTGTCAATTAAGGCTTGAGTGGTGATTGTTGTGTCAGAGTTTGGGTCGTGGAGGGTAACATGGTCAATAATTCTAGTATCATTCATTTCAAGACTATCAATGTCACCGACTTCCACTCCTAAGGTATTTTGCTTGGGGGAGGCACAACTAGCACTCCCAAGCTTCTCCATTTTTTGACAACTCTGATCTGCTTAAGTTTGTCTCACTGCTTTTGACTTCTGACAACTGATTATCTAATTCTGCTATTCTAGCCTTCAACTTATCAACTTCATCACTTCTGAATCCACTACCACCACCACCTCTCTTCTTCCTCTTTGCTATGTAACAATCAGCAATTACATGATTGGTTTGACCACATTCATAACAAGCTCCATTTGCAGCTCTTTTTCAATATTTGTCTTGGGAAATTTTGATTTGATAAGCTGAGCAATCCATTGCATCAGGATCAGCAACTGGAGTCGACAAAGGATTAGTAGGCATTTTTAAGCTCTGAGAACGGTTGTGCAATTTATTATTGAGTTTGATTGCAAATTGGGCCATTTCTTCTACTTGCTTGAACTCTTGTTGAATCATGTATTTGACCTTGTTCAAAATGTGACATTAAGATATTCTTGGGCCATTTGACAATCAAGGAGAGTTCCGAGAATTGAATCCAATAATCCAAATCTGATACAGCACGCGTTTGCTTAAGGTTACAAATTTCGTTTTTGGCCTTGGCAAGTCTTTCAATATCAAAGAAAGTCACACGGAATGAATCAGCAAATTTGGTCCAGTTAACAAGATGAGCTTGTTCTGGGTCTAGTAATTGATCCGTGAAGGCTTGACTCCACATGCTTGCCTTGCCAGTCATGTATGACAGTGCGAACACGACTTGAGATTTTTCATCAGCAAAGGACACTGAATTCATTTGCACATAGATGCTGATTTGATTCATAAAAATCTCGGCCTTGGATCCTTTAGATCCATTGAACTTTTCCGGGGTTGCAATTTCAGGTGGTTCGATATGTTGCACCTGGTTTTGAGCAGCACCAACGTTTCCTGGAAATGATGGGATAGTTGAGGAAGGCATTGGAGGAGGGATCTGAGCTGCAGTATTAGATTGCAACGGTTGAGTTTGTTCCAATTGAAGCAATCTTTGCTCGAATTCAATATGTTTGGCGTTGGCTGCGCGTTGGTTGGCTTCAGCCTGTTTGTGTCGGTTGGTCTCATCATTCAATCTAGCCGTTAGATTATTGAGTTGCTGCATGATACCGGCTAAGCTAGCTTCCGTCATGTTGACTTCCAACATGTGTGGATCAGACATGGGTTCAATAGCTTATAAGAATTCAAAGTCTTGGCCTGTTGAAGTCGTAAAAGTCGGACTTTGAGGGGTTGTGAATTCCGGCGTGGTGGTGGATTCTGAAAGAGGCTGGTAATTAAATTTGGATCTTCAAACTTTTGAATCTTAAAACTTCAATTGATTCTTGGGGTTTCTGATCTTCTCATCACTAACTTTAATTTTCTATTCTGATCTTTGATTTCTTTATATAGTCCTTGCTTCTTTGTTCTTCACTTCTTCTTTACTGATAACTTTAACTTTATTTTCTTTTTATAAACTTTGATTAATTCTAATTCTTCTTTTCTTTGATTGTTCTTGTTCTTTGAGTTATTAATCTTCTCCAATCTCTTGAATTAAGACGTTGCAATATGTAAGGACTCGAGGTGGATGAGGAGAGATGAGAGTAGACTAAAGATGTCCTTCTAGTACTAAGTAGATTGCAACATGAGGATCATAGTCTGTGCTTGAGAGCGTACAAGAGATGAGAGCAAACATGTATAAGCATATGTAGAGTAGCCTTATACGGCTCATAAAACCTTTCCAAACAACACACCGGGTCTCTGGAGTTCTATGTCCTGTCACCAATATTGGAGACTTGGACCCTTGTTGTGAGCTTTGAGAACAGATCTTTTTAGCTTTTCTCACCTCCAAAAGGTAATTTTGTGGTGGTAGATAGCTCTAGCAATACCAACGTAGAATAAATGACAATGTAAAAGCAACATTTTGGTTGTTGGCAAATATTTTTGTAAGAAAACACGCCCAGTGCAAAATATCCGGAAAAACACGCCTCAGCGCACCTACAAAATTATCAGCACACCCACAACCTGAATTCAAAGGATTGACTACATACACTGACTCAATGTTTTGGTGTAATCCCATCAACTCAACTGCATGTAACACCCTTTCTGTTACTAAGAAATAACTTCAACAATATTGCCTGAGCAGCTACAGAATTATATGTAGTGAATTTTTGGGACAATTTTTTCAAA